CTTCTGAAGCTGCTGCCCCCGCGACCCGACCCCGGATGGGCGGAAGAAAATGGATGGATGGATGGATGGATGGATGAAAATAAGAGCTGTAATTCATGAAAAGACTGTCAGAGTAACATAAAGCCTGTCAGTTTGACCTTTGACAAGATTACATGCAGGGGCGGAGCTAGACATTTTTGCATGGTGCACAGGGGTGGCCAAGGTGTTTTTTTTTAGTGGGGCACATACAAATAAAATGCTGGATTTGAAAATTCAAAATGGCCCACACATCTAACTTCAAATGGCTCAAATKTAGCTGTTATCATAGCTAATAAGAGAAATAGGTCTCTGCAGTCACAAAGTAGGAGYTTCTTATTTTGTAAGAGGAGTTGGCCCAAGATATGATTGGTCTGTTTGACTTTTTGTGGGCGTAGTTGGCCCAAGACGTGATTGGTTGGATTGGTGGTGGGGTGTAAAGAAGCTGTTGGGGGCAGCGGGATGTTGCTTGGTCAAGTTGGGCAGTAAACACCTGTTTTTTAAGATTAATTTTAAAGGAAGGTGCTTTGAACGCCGTACACATGGAGGGACGTGTCGCAGTTTGGCTCGGTCAAATGTCCCTAACCAGTCCATAAAAAGATCACTAAAAATTCAATATCAATAAATATCWATATGAATAGTCATAACTTGAGAAAGGAAGAAACTTGCAGTTGCCYCACAAGACATGTCAATCCAACCAATCACGGTTAGGGAAAACTCAGCCCAAACAGCAAGACCTCCGCCAATCACGGGTAGGGCCATCTCTGCCCAAAACACGTACTGCAGAGACCCCTGCTTGGCTAATAACATCCAAGAAACATGCTTATTGTTAAACCCAACTAAGRTAAATGCTAATTTCGCAAAAGCCTATAATTTTGCCATTTCTAAACACAGCTGAAAATTTGCATAATAGCAGCCGAGAAACAATCTTTTACTAAATTTAATTTCAAATTTAATATCTAAGATTAGCTAAAATTCGGTGTGATTGTAGCCAAGAGCAATCCCATGACATCATGACAACTATGCATGCATGCATGCATGCATGCATGCATGCAT